AAGACTTCATTGCTGCCAGCAGCAAGCACAAGTTGTTCAGATCACAGCAGAGATCACCGTCTTCTTCCCTGACTCCGTGATGGATTGAGCTGTTGAGGGGAATGAAGCCTGGTCCGAGACCGTCCAATCGAGAGGACGCCGCCGGCCGACTGTCCGGTCTCGCGCCAGACGACATTCCCCTCAACAAGACGATCGTCAGAACGAAGGAAGACGGAGGAGGAAAAGGACCGATCGCGAGCTTATACAGGCTGCGGCCTGCGGCAAATGATGCTGCCTTGTGGCAGGCAATGGCGTCAAGTCCACAAGCAATCCCCTTGCATTGCCTGCACAAGTACACCAACACAAATCTTTGCGTTGTCTACGCATCACAACGCCATGTCTGCAATGTCAAAAGGAGATTTATGTCAAGGGACGGACTGACTGAGACATTTAATCATGGTCATGCATTTGAATATGGGCATACTATGCATTTAATTAGTCGCAAATCGAAATCATGAGTAATATATGCTCAGCTATGATGATTATGCAAAAACTTGGCACCAAGATTCCGTGAATAATAGTCAACTAAGCAGATAAGATTATAGACACAAAAGTCAATTAGTCCTTTGTGAAATTTTAGCCATCATCATTACGCTTATTATTCTTGGCTATGATTAAGCATAATATTGAGTTGCTGCTGAGGGGAAAGGGATTAGTAAAAAAGTTTGTTCTTTCAGGAGTGCTTGACTCTGACATCAGTTCATGATTTTTATTCCCCAGCAAAGACCAAATTATTATAGGGGGCTTCTTTATATTAGCTTTGCATAATTGCATTGCATTGCATTTCCCGGCTGTTTTGATTCCAGGCTTAGCACTTAAGAAACTACGGCCTTCAGGCACCGTGCTCCTGCTGCCTACTGCTACAGAAAAGAGAGCCTTTCTTTTTTCTGGTTTTGAGGCTGTGGATTACAAACGGATAGAGAAAAACAGTCTTGTTCTCCTCTTTATTATTTCTTTATTGCCAGTTGGCATTAATGAACAACATATTTTTCTTCACCTAAATTATTTATTTATCTTGGTAAAAGATCGCCTCATTTGTTTTTGTTATTTCTTTTTTGGTGGGTGGACCATAGCAGAGCTACACTGTCAGGCTTTTCGATGGCTTTTGTTATTTCTTTGCTTAATTAACCCACTTGAATAACTTTAACATATTTGTGAAACCTAAATGGCACTTAAAGACTTGGAAAAACGGCCTGAAATGGCACTTAAATGGCCACAAGTGAGATACGCCCTGCAATGGCAGGAGGGTCCTTTTGTCAAGCTTTGAAGATCTTTCTTTTGTGTTCTTAAGAGTAGTCATGAACAAATCCATTTTATTCGTCTAATTCCTTCTCTTTCTTTTTTCATTTCTCTGTTCTTTTTGTTAGAATTTATTAAATGTAAAGTTTTTTTGGTTTATAGGAGATCAAGTTCATGTTCTACTGCCTATATGGCATCAACATGGCTACTAAGTTCCAAGACTTAAACAAGTTTACCGAAAGATAAATTTAGAATGTAGGAAAACTATTTTGGTATTATCCGCCACAGTCCCCTATTGTGCCAAAAAAAATCCATTAAAATATTCATCAAAGGAACTTTACTCATACTACTACTCTCTCCGTCCTTAAATAACTGTCGTCGTTGGTGCACGTGCTTACGGTTTGACTCGATTTGTAGAAAATACGTGCAATATTTGTATCTCCAAATAAATTTATTAAAAAACTAGATTCAAATATGTTTCCAATAATACTAATTATGTAACATAAATATTAATATTTTTTAATATATATTAAGTCCAAGTTGTTTCTCAGGAAGCGAAAAGATTGATATTTAGGGATAGAGGGAGTAATTTTTACTGTGTACATCTGACCTAGATATCCACAAGAAATGTCAAAGGAAAACAAATGACCCTTTTATATTGTCAAGGCCACTATTTTAACTAAGCACTAGAAACTTAGAATTTTTTATGAAAGAAGCTTTATTAAAAATAAAGCTACGGTCTCTGTAATGAAGCAAAACACAACCACTAGGGCTTGTTCGGAACGCGGGAAAATTTCCCTTTTCCTGTGTTTTTTCAGTGAAATTGAACTGATTCCTATAAAAATCCTACATGATTTGTGTATTCCAAACAGGCCTTACAATAAAAGAAAGAAAGAAGAATGAGACCCAACAAGCTCTGAGCATTTGGGTCTTAGACTCAATGAAAATTCTGTATTCCAACCAGACCTTACAATAAAAGAAAGAAAGAAGAATGAGATCCAATAAGCTCTAAACATTTGGGTCTTAGACTCAATATACAGCTCAAAACCACGTATCTCAACCTATAGTCCAACTACTAAGAAATAGCTTGACATGGTTGCCTCTATTTTCTTGTGCCACGAAGTGAAATATGGGCAAAGCCTTCAAAACTCTGACTTATCCTCCAACAAAAGAAGGTGACGAACATTGCAACTAAAGCATCTCACATGTCCGTCGGTCGTCTGATAACATGACTCGATAATCACAGACGATGCCTAGACCAACTGAGTGCCTGTTTAGTTCCTAAAATTTTACAAAATTTTTTAAGATTCCTTGTCACATCGAATCTTTGACGCATACATGAAGCATTAAATATAAATAAAAAATAAAATTAATTACACAGTTTAGACGAAATTCACGAGACGAATCTTTTAAGCCTAATTAGACTATGATTGGACACTAATTGCCAAATAACAACGAAAGTGCTACAGTATCATTTTCCAAAAAATTTCGCCAACTAAACAAGACCTGAATAGATGAACGACATTCATTTGAGCATTCATTGTCTTGTTCTTTTCACAAAGCTCATCAAACTAGAGCCTCTCTTCTCCTAAGATATAGGACGGTTAGCTGCACAGCCGAAGAGAATTCCACCATTTTGTCTGATCGGCTGCGCTGCTGCTGCCGCTGAAGGTACGTCCTCATTAGCTACTGTACTGGGACGAAGAAAATATGCAGCCACAGCAAAAAAAAAAAAAAAAAAAAAAAAAAAAAAAAAGGCCGAGCAGAGGCTCAAATTTTGCTGGCCTGCTGACGCCACGTGAGTATGTCAGACGCCGAGACGATACATCAGGTACGGACGTCGGTAACATGTACTTTGCCTACTTTCCCCTTTGTTATTAGTCTACGTTTTTTAAATTAAAAAGTATAGACGAAAACGCTTATACGCACGAGGACACACTCGCATGTACATATGCACATCTTATCCCTAAGAACATCTTTAAAGAACTGAGTTGGACCAATAAATCCACGTTAATTATATGTTTAGTGGATATTTATTTTTGTTTTACCCCCAATATCAATTCTTTAGAGTACAATACTTTAGACTCTGCTAACCTTCTGATTAGGCCCTTTGGAACGCAGGATTGGAAAAAAAATAGGAATAGAAAAAACACAATAATAGGATAAGAATGCATTTGTGAAACAGAGAAATGAAAAACACAGAGAGTTTGTAGAAATAGGTACTTGGATGAACTACATGAGAAACACAGGAACCAAACACACGAGGTTTGAGTGGATGATTTTTTTCCTATAAAATTAAACGCAAAGGAAAGTTTCATGTTTTAGGTGTGTGCACCTAAGAAATATATGATTAATATAGGAAAAGGACAAAATTAATACTCCCTCTATTTTTAAATTAAAAGTAGTCCTGACTCTTTTAATATAAAACAAAATTTTGTTATGTATCTATATTTAGATGCAATAGCAAAAATCTCTGTCTTTGTCCCACATTTTAACATCGAGTATTCGCAATACCTGAATTTCTAAATACCTACTACCCGAATTTTTCTGGTTATCCAAATGCCCATCCCTCCTATCCTTAGGCACACAACGTCCTAGGTCCGAACCATTCACAATGCGCGAGCAATTTTTTCAGCCCAGCCCACTATAAGGCCGCACAGGGCCCAACAACAACCTTGCGGCGCCGACGGAGTCGGACTGTGTCAGTTGTGGTCTGCTCCAATCCAAAATCCAAAATCCAAAATCCAAAATCCAAAATCGAAAAGAACAACAACTTTAAAAACCTCGCTGGTCGCTGCTGCTCTGCACCAACTTTAAAAACCCCTTTCTTTCTTCCTTCCTCACGTGCTCCGACGCGCCGCGGCTCGTCGTCACCGCCGCCGCCGCCGCCTCCTCCACGTGCACGCCTCCCCACCGCCCCCTTGCTGCGCGGAGGTAAGGGTAGCCTCTCCCCTACCTACTACCTGTCCTGCTTCCCATGCGTGCGCGCGCTTGCTTCCCGGGGATCACGTCTTCTGGTTGGGCTGGGCGGCGGCGCGGACTCCGGCGGGTTCGGAGAGCGAGCGGGAGCGGTCGGCGGATAGGAGCGGCGCTTCCGTTTCTAGGGTTGGGGGGAAGGTGACGGGGTTGGGTTGATGGAGCACACAGAGTAGACCTGAGCGTTTGGGGGGTGCAAAACCGCGTCAAGCCGTCAACTTGACCCAATCGCAAGCTATATGTTGCTGGATTGTTTTTCTTCTTTTTTGTTCTTATCTGATGCTTGCTTAGTTTTGGGTTTATGTATGCGGGTTTCTCCTCATCTGATGCCCGCGTTGGGCCCCCTTTTGCCACTCTAAAACTGTGATTGACTGATTATGGTCTGGACGGTGAATGCTGTTGCTTGAGAGCAGCATCAGACGTTGCTGCCTTATGCACCTGCCATTCGAGTGTGAATTTCACTTGTATTGTATTGTGAGACAGCGTGTACCACTTATTTCCGGGCCTATTAGGTTATATTCTGTTGTGTGGTTCTATTGTTTTATCTGTGGAAATGCCCTGATTGTTCAACATTAGTACATTGCCCAACCTTATTGCTTTCATTCACTCTGCCAACACAAATATGTCACTGATATTTAATTTCAACATTCTAATATCTTCTACCCATTTAGGGTGCACCTATTGTTATTGTTGGGCGTTGTTTCACCTGTGCTGTCTATCTGTTTGATGCTTAAGTGCTGGTGACCATGGCTCAGATGCAGTCAAGTTTGAAGGAGAAAGAGGTTCATGAAGTCACCAGGAAATCCAATGAGCAGAGTGTTCTGAAACTAGGTACTGTTGACGATGAAGACTCTGGTGATACCACTTCCTCTGCTGATGAAAGCAAGTATCCTGGTTGGCCTGGAACTAGTGTCTTCAGGATGCTGATTCCTGCACAGAAGGTCGGTGCAATTATCGGCCACAAAGGCGAGAGGGTCAGAAGACTCTGTGAGGAAACAAGAGCCTGTGTTCGTATTATTGGCGGTCATCTTTGTGCTGCAGAGCAAGCTGTAAGATAGCCATCATCTGATCCTCTACAGCTAAAAATTCCTTTAAATATGTCCTGGTGGCTCCCGAGAAGAAAAAACATGATTTATGTTTTTGCTCAATTCAAAAAAAGAAATCCTAAAATTTGCTTAAAATTTTTTTTTTTGAAAGGTAATCATTTTTGGAAGGGAACAGCCTGATGAGCCATTACCTCCAGCCGTGGATGCCCTACTAAGAATATATCAGCAAACTATTAACGATGACTCTTTAGATGTGGGATCCGATAGTGTGATCGTGAGGCGGATTCTTGCACCCAGTGAACAGGCAGCAAGCCTTATTGGCGAGCATGGTGTGATGATTAATTCAATCATGGAAGCTTCTCAAACCGACATCCGTGTCCTTGGTAACTTAATTTGATGTAACCTCTCAGCTCAGTTTTTGACAACTATTATTTGCTTCTGCTCAGCGCTTGTGTGTCGATTATTGCACTTACGTAATTGGAATATGGGTAATCTGCCAGGAAGCAACAGATTTTGTGTTTTACTGAAGTATAGTTAGTCCTGTTGCTGCACAACTTTGCTCTGGTAAATCTGATGTTTGAAAAGATAAAGTATGTTTTGCTAACAGAGGTCCAACTGATATTGCAAGTTGGATCTTTTATGAAACATGGTTGCACTTAGAAATGCTAGGCAGAAGATGCACTTTTGAAATGTAGTGTTGCACTGTTGCTGTCGCAATTGTTAGTGACACATGTGCTCTATATGCTGTCAGATATCCGTATCTCTTAATGGTCGTGCCTACCCATTTGATTCTGACAAAATCAATCAATCTATTAGTTACAGAACAAGCAGAGAAGTCAGTGTACATGGTCTCTTCTTGTACTGAACTGGGACTCAGCTACTTTCAAAGAGTTCTGGTAAAGTATAAAACTGTGCTATAACTTTTGAGCTCCTTAATTTTCATGTACTATTTTTGTTACTTGATTTCTCGACCTATCTTGCAATAGCAACTTTAACACTGAAAATGATTGCTCATGGCAACTGGCAAGTATGAATTGATCAAATTCTCATAACACATCATCTGTTGATTTGATGAAGCACGATTCTTACCTTATCTGTATCTAATTTGTTACATTCACTGTTTAGATGGTGATCTGCCTCCTGTTGCACTGGAAGAAGATAGGGTTGTTGAAATATGGGGACTGCCTGCAAGAGTGCATAAGGCTTTGGAACTTGTTGCTTCTCATCTGAGAAAGTACCTGGTTGATCGAAGTGTGATCCCATTGTTTGATTGTCATGTAAGTTGTCAGCCACTATTTTGAGCATTTGTTATTCAATTTCAATGGCACACCGGAAACGGTGCACATTTGTATGCTCACCAATATGTAATTCTGAGGACTTGTTGCTTCTCAGGTACCTATGCCAATCTTGCACATGGACATGCCCCCATGTCACTACATTGACTATCCTGAGGGCCCTGTGCATCCAGTTAGTCCAGGTTATCACTCTGTATCTGCTGAAGATCTCCAACATGAACAATGGATTGACACAGTCTATTTGAGGGGTAGGCATCCTATGGGAAATCTTCGACATGCTGATACATTTGAATACAGATGGGAAGCACCTACACCTTTCAGGAGATATCGATCTGTTACACCACCAAATCATGCTATAACTGCATATGGGCCAGAAGCATCATCACCTATGGAAGCATATCTATCAGCTCCTATGGAATTACATTCACACCACAACCTTCAAAATGGTTGGCATTCATCTCCAGTTAATTCAACAGATTCTGTTGAAAGAATACGCTCCCTTATATCTGTGTATGGACAACAAGCACGGCTACAGAAACAGACATGTCAATCAGCTAAACTGGGTAAACATCCACAGTTCGGAATATCTTTACATGGAAATGAAGCCCATCCGACTAGGGTATCTCCGAGAGATTCTACTGAACAACCTCCATCTCCTGGTATTTCTGCTTGTGGACGAGAAGCATCTCCATGCTTCAGAATGCATCCACCAACTACTGTGGAAAATCTTCTAAACTGTCGTGTATCTGCATGTGGACCAGAAGCACAACTACCACTACATCTGGCTCCAACATCATCAACTAGTCGATCAACAGCAGTTGCTTCTCAGGTCTGTATGATTTCCAAGGAGTCTTATTTATTTGCTTGACCACATGTTTTCATTGTTTTGCTAAAAAATTGATTTGTGTCTATTTGGTTGGTGGGTTGTTTGACAGGTTAAGAAAAAGATGCAAGTACCAATATTCTATGCTGAAGCTGTCATTGGCCCAGCTGGTGAAAGAATTGAATACATTCGTCGTACCAGCAGGTCGAGCATTTTGATAACCAATTCTGAGGGCGCAATGTCTATTGAGATCACTGGAAGTGCTGCAACAGATATTCTAACTGCAGAGCAGCTGATTAAGGTATTCTAAGAAAATTTTCATACCTCTGCTGAGATAGTAATATTAATCATTTACATAGGACATTCCCAGGCTATATGATAAGCAAATACTTAAATTTCCCACCTGACTCCTCTGTGGTTACACATGTAAAACATAAAGTTTTTCTGTCCTTTTTTTTAAAACAAAGTAGTTTCTTTGGTGGGATGCCTATGTTCAGTTTCTAGTGTATTCAATATATTTGATTCATTGATACTTATTCGGGTAAGAATACGCCTCCGTTCAACGGATGCTGCTGGTCTTGTTCCGATACTCAATGTTAGTCTAAGCGTGCTTGCACATTCTAGTTGTTAACGTTCAAATGCACTACAATTGAGTATTTCAATTGTAACCTGATTTTAAATTGAGATTAACCAAAGAAACAACTCAATACTTACAGTAGTCAAGGTTCAAATTTACTTGTTTTTGCATTCCATCTTATCTTCTGCTGTTGTACTACTCAAAGAGATCATTTTTAATACCAAAAAGAATGTAATCCTCACTTTTTTATGAGTCAATAAATCTCAAGTTTGTCCAAATATATACAAAAAAGAATTAATATTTATGATGCGCAATAACTATCATTAGATTAATCATAGAATATATTTTTATAGTAAATCCATTTGGAGATACAGATATTGACACTATTTCTACTCCCTTTATTCTGAATTATAAGGCGTTTTGGCTTTTCTAGATACGTAAATATACACTATGTCTAGATACATAGTAAAAACAATGTATCTAGAAAAGCCAAAATGTCCTATAAGTTGAAGTGGAGGGAGTATAAACGCACTCCCTCCGTCCCAAAATACTTGACCTTATAGGATTCAAATTTTGTCCCAAAATATTTGACACACTTCCAAATACACATTTCTCTTCCCCCAACAAACCTTTTTTCTTTTCCCAATACATCTCTATCTCTATTTCTCTCTATCTCTCTTTGTTTTCTGTGCATCACACATTTTCACTATTTCTTAATTCCGGTGTCTGAACCGAAAACGTCAAATGTTTTGGGACTGAGGGAGTAGTCAAACTTAAGAGAGTTTAACTTAGTCCAAACCTAGGATTACATTATCTTTGGGGTGGAGGTAGTAATTTAAGCTGATGCTTTAAATTTTGTTCTGTTTATGGTTATCAGGGTTATAAACATCGCCTTTTCACACTCTTGATCATTGTTTCCTTTTCTAGAACTTTATGGCCGAAGCAGCTGCCGCCTCCCCTGGTCACAGTTTCGACTTCATTCCATCATATTTGCCAGCACCCAGATCTGCCCAAGCTGATGTTCTTGCTTCCCCTGGGACAAGCGAAGTGTCCAGTTTGCCAGAACGGCGCCTGCAAATGATTTACTGAATATCCCCAACAGTTTTATTTTCTGCATATACCACCAAAGATAGCCAAGCACCAATACCAGCAACACAGGAATATACCAGAGACAGTAAATTCGGAAGATGTTTTGATATTCATCCTGAGACTATGCTAGCTTTACAATCTCAACCCAAAGGATTTCATCTGGATTACTTCTAGACCCCTTTTTTGTTGTAGCCTTGATTCATTCCATGGGTTGAACGTTAGAAACTAGAGAGCCTGAGAATATGCTATATATGGAAGTAAAGTTTTGGTTGATTCAGCGAAGATGGGGTAGCACGATATGTGTGCCGGGATGATTGAACGGTTGTGTTTCGCTGAAACAAATTCATACTAATCTTTGCTCCATGAGATATCTATTGTTTGTTGTCTATGTTAGCTGCTCTAGTGTCATCTGTTAGTATGGATATTTGCTGGTTTACTGGGTCTGGGTGCTGCACAAAGGCACTTCCTTGAGAAAATCAGGGGCTCCACATGTGTGTTTTTATTTTTCTGATTCTGATTTGATATGATGGGAAAGAAAACCTTTTGGTCCCAGACGTGTGAGGCTGCGCTGAAACCTCTCGCCTGACGCTGTTGGGCATGCAGGCATTAGAGAGGGAAAACGCCGCGTTTGGGGGCTCCGCTGCAAGGCAGACAGACGCATTCGGCTCCTCGTTTCTCTCTCTTCTCTTCGTTCCCGCGCGGAGAGGGAGAGAGAGAAACAGGGGAGCGGCCACCTCCTCTTCCCTGCCAAGAAACCACGATTTCTTATGGGTTTGTAACCAATTTTCTTTAGGATTTCCGATTCGATTCTCCGGCGAGGGTATGCATCATAATCAGTCACTTTTGTCCCATTTTTGTTGTCGAGGATGTGACCTATGTTCTAGAATGTGGAATGTTTTTTTTTGTGACAGTTTTGATTTTTCTTTTTTATCATCAAATGCCGCAAAGAGGAATCTTGACCAGCGTGGAATGCCACATAATAACGTTGCTGCAGCCTTTTTGCAGGGAAAATTGTAACTTCTGCTGCAACGGGTGCAAAATTTCGAATTCATCCATTCCACTTCTCTCCGTGCAATCAGCCATTCATACATTGGTTCTGGCATTCGTTCGGCCTCCTCAAGGAAGCTCCTTATATTATATATAAAGATCAAAATTCCTTGGGCTGCATTGAGGCAAAGATCAAACTTCCTTAGGCTGCATTGAAGCATTGGTGTGATTCATTGAGAAAGTGCTGTCACTGTATGTAAATTTTGATGTAAACTGACCAGACATGGCTGTGAAAGACGGCTCGGGATCACAAGACTTGGGGCACAGGTTCTGGCCTATGCTGTCCTACGCTTGCGGCGAGCTATGTGTGATCATACTGCTCTACGTGGCTGCCTTGGCATCCTACGCAGCCACAAGGTTGGCGCGCATCTGCGGGCTCCGGCCGCCCTGCATCATGTGCACAAGGCTGGACCGCGCCCTCCATGGAAAGCCATGGTTCTCTGGGGACTTGGTCTGTGCCTTGCATTGGTCTGAGATCTCGTCTCTGGCTTACTGCAAGAGCCATGACCAGCTTGCACACTCTGGTGATCTCTACAAAGCATGCCTACTTTCATGCAAAGCGATAGGTGTTGGTGAGGAGGTGAACTCTTGGTCTGCATCTAGCAGGTCAACAAGGTTGTGTTCTTGTTGCTCGGATCCATTCAAGAATGCTTGCAGCACGCAGAAGCATTCTGAAGCGGCCAATACTGTGGATTCTTGGAATAGTGTACCTGCAGATCATCCAAATGAGAAGAGTATGTGTAGCTATCTAAACTGCTGTACTCTAGTGACTAGTGTTATATATAATTGGATATTTTGATCTTCTGACTAACTGCACGCATTTTTCTTGATGTAGCTTTTGTGGTGGGTATTGAGGAAGTCCATGAATCAGATGGTTCACCAGGCTCACATGGACAATCCAGAAAGGACAGCGCTCCTTCTGCGAATGGTGGGACAGCAAAGAGCAACTATAGATCGGCTGCACCAACACGCATTGCTGTGGACCGCAACGGCAGTGTGAAGAATGCTTCAGTTGCTAGGGTCAACTTGACATCTCCTCGGCCATCAGAAATTCTGTGTGCCAGGGACAGCAATTCAACAACGCAACAAGAAGTGAAGGCGCTCCTTTCTCAGATATCTTCTGTACGGGGCCTCGATAGTTCTTCCAGTGAAGGATCTCCTAGCCCTGGTATCAGTGTTCTTAATGAAGAAAGCAACCATGCGAGCAAGAGGCCATATCTCGAGAGGAACTATTCTGTGCTGGAACCTTCAGACGGGAGCCTCACCGACGATGTTGAAGGGGAGAGTTCTCTCGAGAACGTAAAGAAACAGCTTGAGCTCAACAAGAAGTCAATGGCTGCTCTTTACAAAGAGCTTGAGGAAGAACGGAGTGCTTCGGCAGTCGCAGCTAGCCAGACGATGGCCATGATCAATAGATTGCAGGAGGAGAAGGCTGCAATGCAGATGGAAGCATTGCAGTACCTGAGGATGATGGAACAGCAGGCTGACCACGACCACCTAGCAATACAGGATCTACATGATTTACTTACAGAGAGGGAGAAAGAATTGCTTGACTTGGACGCTGAACTTGCACACTGCAGGAGGCTCCTGCAGAACGATCCATTCAATGGTGACAGACTTAATGGCACTGATACAATGAACAACATGGATTTTGTGGGGAGCGCTATGTCGCATTTTGAAGACGATCAGGCATACATTTTGGAATCCTTGAGCAGATTGGAGGAAAATCTTGGCATTTCCACAAACAGACTTGCTTCTGGTGACGCCAGAAATAGTCAAGAAGACATACTGTTTGAAGATCATACAAGAGCTGATGTATCTCCTTCCAACAGTGACAAGTTGAGTGGTGTAGCAAGTCTTAGGATTGAAATTTCTCTGTTGAATATAAGACTGAGGGCACTTGAAGAGGATCAGGAGTTTCTCAAGCAGGTATTGAGTTCCCTCCGATGTGGTAGTGATGGACTGCAGTGTATACAGGAGATAACCAGCCATTTAGCAGAGTTGCGAAGAGTTGTGACTCATTAAGGAAAATGGTTTTGCCCCAAGTTCACACTATTTGGCCATCATGAGGTAAGAACTATTCTAGTCATCGTTTAATTGCAGGGGGAACATGTTCTGAAAAGCAAAGAAATTTTATAGCATTGTTTATATTATGCAAACATCGTAACAAATGAGAACCTGAAACCTTCATTAGTCATGATGCGTGAAAACCTTAAAATGCTCATCATGGAAACCTTATGCTTTGCGATACAGAGATATTACGAAGGTCGAGCTTCTTAGGAAATATTATGTGTTGAAACCCAGAAGCCCACCTGTCTCTTCCCTAGAAATGACAAATATAGCTGTTTCACCATATTGAGGTTTCAGAAGTTGCCCGGATTAACAACTTCCTACTTTATTGCCTAAATTATATATACTTTCTTGATATTTTCCCAACACAGTAGAAACCTATTGATTTGTCATTTCAATTTTCTTTGAAGCAAAATTCTTGCGGTGGATACTAGTGTTTACAGTTCCTAAATATCCAGTGCCTTTACAGGTCTTCTCATGCAGATATATGCAGGCTAAAGAGAGCGCTTCCAGTGAGTGCCCACAATGCCATCTATCTTAAATCGCACAAACCTGAAGATGGATGCCATTGCAGGAATACCCATGCTCTTCCCTTCTGATCAGGCTCAATAGCAGACCAAAATTTTCCATCTCTTGCACTTGAGTTTCTCGTCGACATTTGCAGATTACTGAAACAGATGGAACTCTAAAAAGAATTACTGAAAGAGATGAAACATCTCTTGTATGTGATATGGTGGTTGTTGAAATTAGGAGCAAGCATGTAACTGTAGACGTAACCAACCTTGATGGTTGCTGCCAAGAGGAGTTAAATTGTACATGATATATGCAGTTCATGTAAAGTCAGTGAATATCCCTTATTCTGAGATGCAAGGTGTCATGACTATCCAATTTTAGATTTTTTAATCATTTTTATTCAATATTTCAATAATAATAACTCCTAATTTTTTTTTGCGGATCTGATCCTTTTGGTCGCGCCATTGCCGCTGGCGTGACAAAATAACGTTGTCGCGCCACATGCATTGGCGTGGCAACATCTGCCACGTTAGATGGCGTTTCCGATGTGGAAAACGCTGTCACGCTACTCCCACTGGCGTGACATGGTCATGCCACCGGGAGTGGCATGATAAGACTGAACCTTTGAAAAATCATAACTCTTTAATACGACGTTGGATGAAGATGAAATTTATATGAAAATTGTAGCTCTCGATGAGATCTACAATTTTGTAGTTTTGAGTTTTTTCATTTGAGGACGTTAAGATGCTTAAAAAATAATATAAAATTTTAGGAGTATAATAACCACGTACTGGTGCTTGTCGTATTAGACAAATAATATCTTTCTGTATGGTATCAAATGAAAATATTTTTTATATCAAAGTTGTAGCTCTCAATGAGATCTATAACTTTATAGTTTTTTGTTTGCATATTTGGAGTCGTTAAGATGCTCAAAAAAATAATATAAAATTTCAGTAGCATAATAATAGTCGCATACTAGCGCTTATCGCATTAGAAAAATAATATCGTTTTTGTATCATGTCAGATGAAGGTACTTTTTATATCAAAGTTCGAGCTCTCAATAAGATCTACAACTTTCATTTAAAAAGTATTTTTTATATGACATCAAATAAGAAATATACGATTTTTCTAAAAAGATAAGCTATGATACACGATTAATATGCTGCTAAAACTTTATATTAGTTTTTCGAGTAAGTTAACGACCTCAAATATGAAAACTCAAAACTATGAACTTGTAGATCTCGCTAATAGCTACAACTTTAATATAAAATGTATCTTCATTTGGCACCATACAAAAACGAGACTATTTTTCTAATACGACAAACGCTAGTTTGCGATTATTATGCTGCTAAAATTTTATATTATTTTTTCGTTTATCTTAACGATCTCAAATCTAAAAATCGAAAACTACAAAATTGTAGATCTCATTGAGAGCTACAACTTTCATGTAAAAAGTATTTTCATTTGACGAAATACAAAAAATATATTATTTTTCTAATGCGTCAAGCACTAGTATGCGGTTATTATGCTCCTGAAATTTTATATTATATTTTTTAGCATCTTACCGTCCTCAAATGAAAAAAACTCAAAACCAGAAAGTTGTAGATCTCATCAAGAGCTACAGTTTTCATATAAATTTCATCTTCGTCTCACGTCGTATCAAAGAGTTATGATTTTTCAAAGGTTTTGTCTTGTCGTCACTCCCGGTGACATAATAGAACAATTCTGTCACGCCGACGGGAGTGGCATGACAGTGTTTTCCACATCGGAAACGCCGTCTAACATGACAGATGTTGTCACACCAATGCATGTGGCGCGACAACGTTATTTGGTCGTGCCAGCGGCGCTAGCGCGACAAAAAAGGTTAAATCCGAAAAAATTAGGAGCGATTATTATTGAATAAAAAAGATTAAAAAACAAAAATTCTCCTCCAATTTCCTGGTCTCCAACCTGCAAATTTTCCATTGGCTGGCGTTGACTTAGCTAAACATTCCTTGTGGACTAAACATCACCTTCACTCACATGAAACATATTAGTCCACTAATGTTCTCACTCCATTTCCAAAACCCAAATAGGGTCCAGATGCTTTCAGCTTTGCCCCTAGGCAGCTAGACGTCGCCCATGAAGCTCCCAACTCGTGTGGTGAAGCTCCAAAAGATTTGTATCACCCTTGCTTTCTAGTGGATATTTTGAGCACTGAAAAACTGGAAAAGGGTACCGAACCATCCGGTGCTCCGGTGCTCACAAATTTTAGCCTAGTCTAGAAAGTCAGTCTTTCTGTTGATTGCTCAATGATTATATGATGCTCACATTTTTCCACTGCCGCTCCATTTTATTTTTTCAATCCTAGGATGACCTGATAGTTTAGAAGATGCACTTTGGAACCACACACCAAAGCAGGGATGAAGTCAAGATATGTTGTGTCCAGAGGTGTAAATGCACCCTAAAAAATATAAAAATAGCGAGTTTGTGACTGCGCCTTACTATAACACATATCTATATACCGACAATAACAAGGCAAGTGCATCCCTCTCGAAATCACTTTAGTTTGGCAACTGCAACAAAGTTCAAAGCTTGTTCTGATTATGGAGTTGTTTTTCTTCCTTTCAAATGCATATTCTGCCTCGACTAAATTTAAACTTACATATGAACTAAACCCTCTGTTTCAAATCATCACGTAATTATGACGTCAAACCCACTTCATGTACTCGTGACCCTAATATCGCTTTAAGCTCACACAACACAAAACTGGATAGATCGACGATATGCCACTTATGCTAGGCTGACCTGTGGCCCTGAATGTCAGTGAGATACTACTTCCATAGAAGGAGAGTCGTCCGACGTCATTACAGGCTGTGTTCCAGTGTCCCTGTTGTCCGACACCAACATGAGAGGACGGACATCTTTCTCTCGGCTCTGTACTCTGTAGTCAACATAAGAATAAGATAAGCCAAATCGGTGCGCCATTTTCCTTGTACGTCCCTTTCGAGATCTCTGACTCACTTGAGTATCCACCACCAAACAGCTGACATCTCTGCCAGTCTGCCCTCTGGTGCACCACGTGCTCGTCTCGTCTGCCTGAAGCAGCTAGGTGAAGAGAGCAGCAGCAGCAGCAGCAGCAGCAGCCAGCAGCTTCACAGTCATACATGTCGTCGTCACCGGCGAGAGCCGGCGGCGCACTGGAGGATCAGGCGGAGGCCAACGTGGAGGAGACTGGGAGAGGCACGTGGCGGCACGCGGCCTTCCACGTGGCGACGACGATCGCCACGCCGGCGGCCTACGCCCCCTTGCCCTTTGCTGTTGCCTCCCTTGGCTGGCCTCTTGGTGAGTTCAAGTGGTTGGCTTCGTCAGTGTATTCATTTCATTGTCTTGTGTGCTTGCTTGGGTACTTAACGGGAGCTTAATTGGTTAACCACGTTCAGGTGTCTGCAGCTTGGTTATTGGGACACTGGTTACATGGTGCTCGAGCTTGGTCGTGGCCTCGCTGTGGCGGTGGAATGGGGAGAAACACACCAACTACCGGCTCCTGGCAGAGAGCATCTTTGGTCAGTAATAGCATTATTTGCCATAGCAAATAAACTTCTCTCTTTATTTATGCCTGATAGTAGCATTCTAACAGAGAGACTTTCTGAAAAGAGACTGATCATTGTACGTAGTTTTGATTCCTCGTTAGTGAATTCCATTTCAGTATAGAGTAACACTGTTAGCAGTACTGGAACTGAAAAGTTACTTACAACTGTGCTTTTAATTTGTTCAGGTCCTTGGGGCTACTGGTACGTCTCGTTCTTCCAGCAGGTGGCATCGGTAGGCAACAACATTGCAATCCAGATCGCAGCCGGCAGCAGCCTCAAGGCCGTGTACAAGCACTACCACACCGCTGATGACGGCGCAATGACCCTGCAGCAGTTCATCCTTGTCTTCGGTGCACTGGAGCTGCTCCTTTCCCAGCTCCCTGACATCCATTCGCTCCGATGGGTCAATGCTATCTGCACTGCCAGCACCGTTGGATTTGCGGGGACAACCATTGGTGTCACAATATATGACGGTAATATAGTATTAGTACATTTTTTTTTTGTCTGCAGAACAAGATGGGGGTGGAATTGTCACTGATGAATATGGGTTACTCCAGGATATCGGATCGAAAGAAAGGGGATCAGTTACAGTCTACAAGGAAGCACCGCAACTAAGATCTTCAGAGCTTTCAACGCATTGGGCACGATAGCGTTCTCCTTCGGCGACGCCATGCTGCCAGAAATTCAGGTGCCCATCTGATTCTGATCTGATGTTCACATATGATGAGATCCATGTATGCCGTAACCTGCCATTCTCAAGACTCTGGACTGAAAATCTGAAATTCAGAGCACTGTGCGGGAGCCGGTGAGGGCAAACATGTACAGAGGCATCTCTTCAGCGTACACGATCATCGTCGTGTCCTACTGGACCCTCGCATTCAGTGGCTACTGGGCATTTGGCTCTCAGGTCCAGCCCTACATCCTGTCCTCCCTGACAGCTCCAAGATGGGCAACTGTAATGGCAAACCTGTTTGCAGTCATTCAGATAGCAGGTTGCTTCCAGGTAAACCAAACACCTGCTGTTCCCATCTGCAATCAATTTGGTGGCATAACCATTAAGTAACAGTAATTTTTCGCCAAGATATACTGCAGGCCGACGTTTGCGCACTTCGAGGAGAGGATTCAGGCGAAGAAGAAGAGGAGCTGCAGATCCTGCCTGTGCCGGCTGACATACACGTCTGCATACATGGCCGTGATCACGCTCGTCTCCGCAGCAATGCCATTCTTTGGGGACTTTGTATCAGTCTGCGGAGCAATTGGGTTCACCCCTTTGGACTTCGTGCTGCCTGCATTGGCACTTCTCAAGACCAGGACGATGCCTGATAACCCAGGATTGCAGTGTGCTGTGAAGATGCTCGGCGCTGCTGTCGCAATCTTGTTCTCGATCATAGGTGCCCTGGCATGCATTGGCGCAATCAGATCGATCGCGCTCGATGTCAAAACCTATAAGTTCTTCCATGATATGTGATATGATGATGGTTTTGCGGCACCAAGTTACCTTGTTTCCCGACATCACAACAAAGTGTACTGATCATAATAATGATGAATATTTCATCTATACAGATCACTACGGCTACATTAGCTCCAAAACGAATGCGAAACGGAAGCAGATTAAAAAGGGAATAAGTAAGGATGGAAAGAAAAATTTGAAATGGCTAAGACTTACACCGACCCATTGTCTTCCTAAACAGAGTACTAGCTTATTTAATGATCTAGCTCAGCTAATCACAGCTAAAATCCTTTAACCTTCTCTTCAGCACATCCAAGGATTTCACCCAAATGCGAAACAGAAGTTGATTAAAAAGGGAATAAAGAAGGATGGAAAGAAGTTTGAAATGGTAAGACTTGCACTGAACCATTGTTTTCCTAAAACTGAGTACTAGCTTATTTAATGATGTAGCACAGCTAATCTCAGCTAAAATCCTTTAACCTTCTCTTCAGCACATCCAGGGATTTCTTCCGGGCGCTCTGCACTGTAGCTCGGCTTGAAAGGCTCCCAAACAAACTGTCTGGGGCATCCTTGAACTTGTCACAAATTATTGCCACCTTCTTGTGGTCTAAGGCTCCATAATTCTGCTCCCTGGTTACAGGATTCACGAAGCTTTCAGGTTGGTTGCTGAGCAGAAGATTTATTAGCTGCCTTATTTCCGCTAGACAATCTCTGAAACTTGTTTCCTTTCTCAGGTCCGAAAACCCAGTCATCTTGTATGTGTCATCAGCAAACCCCTCCAACACTTTCAGATCAATGTCAATACTGGCAACAGCATTTGCGTTGAACCTTTTCACCCGGTCACTAAGAAGTACCGTTGTTATAGAATCTGAGATGTGGCTTAGTGCACCAGATACAACCTTGAATAAGGCATCTCTTGGTACAATCTGCTGCCCAGAAGATACCACCTCATGAAGATAGATAATAACTTCGTTCATGTAGTCATTTGCATGCTCTGGAGCTTCCTCCAGAGTCCAATTGATGCTAGTCAACTGCAACATAAACTCATCAATCTTGGAATTGACCAAAGTAATTAATCCATTGTATGCTGCATTGTGGGAGGCTTTGAGCACAGCTCTAGCAGTCAAACCAGAATGGGGCTTCTCAAGGAGGCACCTAGGGACACCACAAAGTCGAGCAGCATGCCAAAGGAACATATCACAGGACTGCTCAAGAATGGCAATATTTCCTGCAATCTGCACCACCTGTGGAAATTCCAGGGAACCACCATGTATCAGGTTCAGAAAACCATCATTCAACGTCTCAATCAAGAACTTGTCTAAGTAACTTTTCACCACATCATAGATGTTTGTGCTACCACTGTGTGACAAGTACCTGACCAACTCCTCAATGAAAGATCGCACAATACGACAAGCATTGGGAACAGAGGAGGAAAATGGAGCAACATATGGCAAATTTGGTACTCCATCAACGGGTTCAAGTTGGAATGCTGCTATATTTGTGTCATATTCATTTTCCTTCTTTATAACTATCCTCTCATATGAGTCCTTAGAAAAGACATAGTTGAGCTTCTTCCGACAGTCAGAAAGAAGAAGTTCAAGATACTTGTCCCTAGTTTTGTCAAGAATTTCAACCAGTGACATGGATCGGTATCCATATTTCTTCAGGGTTGCACCAAAAAGACTGACATATCCTTTTATGAGGAGGAGGTGGTTGGCAGCATCAATGAGGGAGAACTGTTCCTCTAAGATCAGAGTAACTTTAGAAATGGCTGTTTCCAACATTGTATCAACCTGGCTCTCAGATAGAAGCCCATCTGCAGTTCGAAGGACACGGTCCTCAATAATAAAAAAGCCAGCTACCTGAGCAAGGAAAGGTTGATAGGACTCAACAAAGGATTGTGATGTAGAAATTTGCAAGTCCAAATTGAGTTGCATGAGCCTGTTATTGTAGTAATATTCTCGAAACTTCTCCCCAAGACCAAGGCCTATGTGGATATGGTGTGCTCTGTACACTGGCGCAAGATCAAATTCCAGCATTGCTTCCTCAGCCATGTGCTCCAAATCCAAGGTGTAAGCATTCACGTCGAACCCAACACGGCTAGATTCTTCTGCCTCCCTCTGTCGGGCACACATTCCCTCATCTTTCTGACGAGTCAGAGATGTCTGGTCTATTGCGACCTGTCCAATCTCCTTAGCAGTCCCTCTGATATACACAAGCCACTCATTAAACTCACTACAAATTTTCTTCTCAATGTACAGCTTTACCATAGGAACTTGTTTATGAATAACCTTTTTTAGAAGCTTCAGTGGAATATTTTGCAGGTAGTCCTTCTCAATCAGCTCCAATGTTTTCAATGCAGAAAGTAATTTTGCGTCGGCAATGTCCCTGTTGCATACCTTGCAGAGGCTGGTTACTTGCAGACAAATCTTCAATGTAGCTAGGGCTTCCCCAACATTACTGTTTACAGAATAGATCTCAAGAAGCTCATCAAGCTTCAGTAGCAAGGAGCTAGCAACCTCTTGCAACCGCAGGTTCTCATCAGACAATGTGCCCTTAAGCTCATCAGCATCAACCAGGACACCACGAAGCTCATCGACCGCAAGGATGAATTCCTCATAGTGGAGTCTACAAATCTCTTCAATCTCAACCTCCTTCATCTTCACGATGTTCTGGAGGCTGTGCAAGAGGGCTTCAGGCTTCCCAGACTCAAAAGCATGCCGGACTATGGGACCCACATCCTCATTGTTTGCAATGAAGGCAGCAAGGCCCAAACCAACACCGCCATCCCCATTTTCCATAGCACCCCTCTTCTTTGTCTGAGCAGTCATGTTTTTAACTGCAAAACAAAAGGAAAGACCGAAAGATAAGACATGCTTGGACTATTTCAAAGTGCTTATTAGATGCCACAAATGCATAGAATAGAACACCACCCAAGCAGAGAGAAATGGGAATCCATGAAATTCGCATCATTTTTGAGAGAGAGAGAGAAATGGTAATTCATGAAAACCACATCATTTTTGAGAGAGAGAGGGGGGATTCTGAATAGATGTGCGTTACAGGTACTTAGTACCGTTGCTCCCCCAGACGAGTCATGCTGGTAAAAGGCGCCCGGAGCAGATACAAATCTGAGTGACTGCAAAGTGGAGTCTCACATGGCAGAAGCATTGCACATGGAAGATACACAACAGTGCACAATATCAGAGCACATCACTACTGATGACAGGTAGTGTATTAAAAAGTGCCAGGCAAGCAGTTGGGCTCTGCCTAGGAAGTAGACGTGCCTAAGCTTTCATACTTTTATGTGGACAATTAGAGAAATGCCATATATACTAAATAAAGGAAACTTAGCATATTAGGTTAAAAAAGTTGATGTTATCATGCATCCATGAGTAGTATTACCAAGAATCAATTTTGCCGATCTCTAATTTTTCCTAATTTCATGAATACATAAGCCCAAAACATCTATGCGTGAAAGAGCCTAGAAATGGAGCTAGGCGACGCCTTTTTAAACAGAGATGACAGGTAAGGCTGTCCTAAAAATGGAAAATTTCATGATGACCTAAGCCCAAAACATATCTATGCGTAAAAGAGCCTAGAAATGGAGCTAGGCGCTGCCTTTGTAAACAGAGATGACAGGTAAAGGCTGTCCTAAAAATAGGAAATCAATATATCATCTCATCCGCACCACACTCACCATTGTACTGACACAGGTACATCACGAAATAAGATGGGAAAACAGATCCAAAGTAAGATGGGGAAATGGACTTGGTGTTCCATTAGATGTCAACACGCGGTGCAGAAATCGGAACGGAACAGAGTGCTAGGATCACAGCCACTAGGGCAGGCAGGAAGTACTAGTGGGCTCCCATCGGCTGGTTGAGGCTACGGATTTGGTCCCAAACGCCCATCCGGAGGCGGCGGTCGCCCAGGTAGCAGCCGCTGGAGTTCCTCCACCGCCGCCGACCTCCGCAACCATTAACGGCCCCCGCGTCCCATCACGCGCACATACACAGGTACAGGACGAGGTGGGAGGAGAAGAGGGAGAAGGATTAAGGGAGATCCTCACCTGAAACAACGGAGAGCAGTGCGCGTTCGGGGGAGGACCTGAACGGAGAGTCCCCGGGTCGAGTGGGGCACGATTGACGGCCACCGGCGGCGTCCTGTGAGGGAACGGGATAGGGTGGTGTGAGGGAGGGCTGAGAGAGGATGGGAGAACGCTGAAATGGGCGACGGCCCGTACCTGGGATCGGTTCCGTTGCCGGCGGGGTGCGCGAGGCCGGCGGACGGCGGCAGAGAGAGAGAAAAACTAGAATGTGGTGTTTGTTTGGAGAAAAACTAGAATGTGGTTCCGTTTCTCTGTGTCATCAGTTCCGAATGGATTTTAGCGGCTTCCACTTCCAGAGGTTTTGCTTTGCGCCTTTGGCTGTGGTGTTTGTTTGGAGAAAACAAAGGCAGGCGACCATGGGTTTTTGGGTTCCAGGCTGCGCGCCGCTTACGTCCAATGTTGCCGGCCTGCGTCCGTCGTGTGATCTAGAAAAAGTTTTCTTAATAAAGACACTACACTCAGGGCGGATTCAGGGGGGGGGGGCTCCAGCCCCTAATGGATTGATTTCACCACTAATCACTGTAGCAAACGTTTAATTTCACCATTAAATCTTCATACAAATCAACATCTCCATTGTTTTAGCCCCTGCTTATCCCGCATCGTGCATCCGCCACTGACTACACTGAAATGTTTTTTTTTTGCAAAAACATTTCGTAAAGGGTTTAGCGAAAGTGTTTTCTTCAAAATGTTTCTAAAAACAATAAATAACAAGTGAAAATAAAATTTTAGGATTTTTTTTTATAATTGGCAATACATTAGAATAGGAAGTTGTTGTTCTAAATACCAAAGTCTTAGTTGGCGCATGTGCATCGTGGTATGCAATTTCCGACCGCGGTAGAGCCCACGTCCAAATTGTCATCTTCCTCCATGAGACCAAAGAGTTAGAGTCGAAGAAGAGAGGTTAGGATTTGCGGGGTTTGGGGAGGGCTCTATGGCCGTTAGAGTTAGAAAAGGAAACCCTAGGATACAGGCCAGACCAGTGAGGTGGCGGGTTGTGGATAGATGTAGGGGCAAGGGACCCCCAAATTAGGAAGCGCGGGGTAGAAGCAGTGGGGCAAAATGTAGACGGCAATGTGAAAGTGGTAGGGGTAATCATGACTAGTGGTCGCAAGGTGTGTGTCTATGGCACCGGGGACAAAAAGCCCACCGTCAATTGGGAGGCAGGTGTGGGGTGATAGTGTTAGAGGTGGGAGATCTGAGAAGAAAAGCGAAAGAGGTAAAAAGATACGAGAAGTTGTGAGGAAGAAGAAGATGAGCTTTAATAGCCTTATCGATGCTGACACGATGAATAAGTGCCTTGTCCTAAATAACAGACTTCATTGTCAATATAACAAAATATGTTATGTTCAATAGGAAATGTGTGATTTATTTGTAAATAATTTTCAAAAAGCAATGTCCGAATTCAACATTCATTGTATAACTGAATGGAGTTTACTATGGTATAAGTGCATCTTGAAATTTATCACGTTTTCACGTGTACAATGCTATCAAGCAATGGCTTTTGAAGGTGGTCTCGTGTTGTTAACCTAAGGCATGCACCGTGAATAAAACTTTAGAAATGATAAGACATCACATTAGAAAGATGCACAAGATCATGGAACCCGGCCCATAGATGAAACAAAGTGACAAAATGTTTGTCAAAGCACTTTTGAGAATTTCTCATAACATAAAATTTTCAAAAAGAATATGACAAAGATACACAAAATTATTTTGTTCTTACTAACAAAGATACACATCACAAAAATGTGTGTCCGCCTACTCCATGGAAATTACTAACCCACCATGAATAGAACACGAGCAGGGAAATGGATGAAGAACATAGAATATCACGAAATACAAGCAAGGAAATTGATGAAGAACATAGAATATCATGAAACGTGAGCAAGAAAATGGACGAAGAACATATAATATCATGAAAAGTTAATAGATGTCCACATACATTGATTGAATTTGGTCTATTGATCCTAAACGCATGAGATGAAGGTGAAGGATATTGAGACGGTGATGGTGTCTCTTCACTTCGGTAGAACTATCATGGGGGTGATAGCTCCTTTAATGACTTGATATCTCATTATTCCTCTTTACTATAGATCGAATCACCGTACATAGGTTTTTACTACATTTTACTGGATTGAATGTTATATTGGGGCTTTTGTGAAAGCTACTAGTTTTGACTTGAGAAATGCATGCGGAATACTCATGAAATTTGGGTATGGCAAACCCCTATTAAGTTGTTCTCGATGGAGGCATAGACTATATGTTAGTCCCCAATTTATCTATTGTGTAGGTTAATCTTGTATCAATTTTTTAGCTGATTGCAATGGACTTAAATAAAATGGCTATTGACAAACAAAGAAGAGGATTATTATTGAAGGGACAAAATAGGATAATGGGCATAATTGTTTAGCTTCTACCCTAGGGTTTGTCAACCAATCCAACTTAGAGGACAAGGTGTAGATGATTTATCTACCCTTGGATGGTCTCTTCATAAGTGGCTTTGGCTCCATAGGACCAAGCCATTAAGTAGCCATATACAAATAGCACTTGTGACACCAGCGCCCAAAATCTACTTATAGCCTAGCTTCTCATGTGGAGCGAGTGTGTCCTTGTTTCGTATAGTGTCAACCCAGTGGTGTTATGTTTAGAGCGACAAGAATTATAAGCTAACCTAAACCTATTTTAAAACCCCGATGTGAGGCTAATTATTCTAGAACACAACACATGGGCTACAAAGACTGACACCAGTAATACTAATGGGGCAGGGTATTACATTCCCCCATCAGAAACACTAACGGGATGAGGTATTAAATTCTCCCCTCCTTTAGGGTTGATGCCCTCTAAAGCTTACCACACTCACTTGGAACATTCCTACATATGCGCATGACCTCTCTTTCACTTTTGTCCTCGCTTCATGTAAAAGGGTTAACCTAGAAGTGCTATGTTTGGAGCGATAAGAATATAAAATGCACCATACCTATTTAAACAACCTATGCTAGATTAATTATACCAGAACACAACACATGGACCATAGACAGGTCAAAACTAGAAACACTAATGGGCCTACAATCTCCCCTCCTTCAACAACAGGCTGAGACTAGAATTTTGTAATGGTCACTATGATGTTGGCCAATGCATAGCTAATACCAACTTCTAGTTGGCCTATTGCTATGTAGCAGGGCTAATAATGCTAATAAGATAGTGCCTTATCTTGTAGCTGTTGTACCATGACATGCATCAATTGATCATTATAGATAAGGAATATTCAGAGGTGTCCTATCAGGGTGTGCTCTTGATGAATACCTTCAAGTATATGATTTACTTGATGATGTGACTTCAATATGACATGTAGGATTAATGGGTTCCAAGATTGTCTGGATAACGACATACCTAACTCAACCTACAAGTAAATTTTGTGTGCCATCATAAAATTGGTGCCTTAGAAGCGAGTATGGAAATATTACAAGCTTTTACAATGCAAAATTTTCCTATGTATTGTGACTCTAATATTTTCTAATGGTGAATAGAGTGGCCAGATGTGAATTACCTCATTTGATAAGAAGCCCACTTTTGTGATCAAATTGGTGAAACTATTCACTGCCTATTTGTTTCTTGTGTCATTGTCAGACGGAAGCAAATATGATTCTCTATAACAAAGGCTTGAGTTATATCGTTTTGGTACCATAGCTTGACACCATTATCTTCTCTAGTTGGTGGGACCTATTG